TATTGTAAAGATATGTAAAACCTTGTTGCTCTTATGCGCAGACGATAACGAGCGCATACGCATATGCTATATAATTTACTTACTAATATTATAAATTCGAATATTTAGATGGATGGATGGATGTTTGTTTGAAGGTATCATTTAGAACATAATCTGGAAGAACACATTGGCTACATATTATGTTTTTTTTTAACTCCGCGCAGACGGTGTCGCGGGCGACAGCTAGTGTTACATATATTAAGAGTCATACAACTTAAAACATGCTTCAATGTAGCTCACCTTGCAAAGTTGACCAGGGTCAGTAAAGTTGTTTCTAATAACTGTGCAACTATTAACGGACCTTCTATTCGCAACAGAGGGACTCTGAAATTTAAATTCAATGTAAATACAAACTCTCGAATTCAATTAACTAACAAGCAATCCTGTTCAATATAATGCCAGCAAATATATTAACATAATCGTAATAGTGAATATCACATGTCTAGAATCTAGAATAAATGTAAGAAATAGTTTGTTCTATAAGTTATAGTACCTGGATGACCGAGCTTTGCTCGGTATTTTATTTTATTTTTAATTGTGTTTTTTGGAAATTATATTTAAGTACGAATTACTAATAAAATGATGAAATATGAATAATATTTTTCGATCTTACCGATGGAAAAAGTTAAGTTTATGTTTAAGTTGATTATCGATAAAACACGAATAAAATGACATTTTCTAAAAATGATTCCTAGCTAGATCGATTTATCGCCCCCGAAACCCCCTATATACTAGATTTTATGAAAATCGTTGGAGAGGAATTGCTCATTTAAAGATATAAGATAAGATTAAGATTATATCGTAACAATTTTTAAATGTATAAATGGAATAGTAAACCATTTTGTTACCCACAACATCAAATGACTTGGAACTGCTTAAAAACATCGCATAGTGCCCTTACAAACTTCGAAAGAAAAACATTAATGCTTTGTTGAAGACAATAATATGTATGATAAAAACACATATCGCAAATTACGAAACTCCTACCATGTCTATTGAAAACTACATTGTCTGTAAGCACGCGAAATCATTTTTTTTAAATCATATGCGTAAGTCAAACCTCTTACGTACAATCATATGTAACCTTCTATGTAGGTCATCTTTTTTTTATGATAACAAAAATATTGTATATTTAGATTAATTACATGTGTTACAACAGTAGATATTGGATGAGGGTTATAGCTCAATGCTGTTGATAGCCATTTAATTTAGGCCAGCTTTAGAGTAGGGCGCGGTTGGGCACCCAGGGCTGAAAGGGGTGCCACAGATCTTAGAATTACAGTATCAGGTAACCCTGTTAAGGCCCTACCACAAAGGCATGGTCAAAAGGAAACGCTGGTAAAGCTAAAATGGGCACTGGTTTTAGGAATACTATAGGTAGAAATTCGATAATAATTATTTAATAAAATGTAAGAAAACTTTGTGTAATTTTAATTTCATTTTGATCAGTGGTTCCCAAACTTATTTTGTCTACTGCCCACTTTGAAAATAAATATTTTTAGTGAGAGTTTAAATATTTTCACATATTTAAAAACCACTATAACTTCAAATTAAATTAATTAATTATTGTGACCTATAAATGTATATTAACTTAGAATTCTAAACGAAACTTTTACTATAACACGCAACTTGAAACCTGCAGCGCCCACAAGGGGGCGTTATCGCCTACTTTGGGAAAGACTGATTTTGTGTTTCTTGTATCAAATGGTTTGAGAAATGTTTTCATTATCATCATATCCCAATTATAAATGTAACCAACTACATAACTTTTCAGTATAATTCAATTTTGCCAAGAATAGTTCAATTGATTATGACTTCATAGTATACAAGAATAGTGGTAATAAAATGTTTTCCTCATGTCATATTAATACATAGTAACTTTATTTTTCTTATGTTAGCATGGTAAATATCTGGGTTGACTTTTTTCTTTAATTCATAGCAATAAATGTCTCAAAAAAAGATTTATTTCTTCAAGAAATTTCATTTAAATATTGACATTTTTTAATTGCATTTAAAATTTATTTTTTAATTATAATTTTTACATTTGTATTAACATATCACACATTTTATGTACTTAGTTATATTTTTTAAATAGATTAAGTTCTCACATACATACATATCTCACTAATATTAAAATGCAAATGTTTGGATGGATGGATGGCTTGATATTTGATTGGATCTAGCTGAAACTTGGCATAGAACATAGCACTTATAGGCTACTTATTACTTTTTTTTTTATACCGCACAGATTAAGACGCCGGTGACAGCTAGTTCTGAAATAAATGAGTGTAGTACTAACCTCGGAAACACAACAGACCCCTCTTCTATAGCACTCAATTTAATATCCTTGCATGTTAAATCTTTTAAATAAGCATAGAATTCTGGTTCAATATTATCTGGTAATGTTTGCATTAAATAATCAATATCTGAAAATATATATTTACGTTATTTAACATTATCAATTTTTTACACAATACTAGAATCTATAGAAGTGATGAATCTATAGAAGTGATTTTAGCACATATGAAATTGTTAATGAAAAATATCTATGTAATAATGAAATGAAAGGAACTTGCAAAATTATTGTACTAAGTCATCAAAACAGATATTGTATTTTCTATAACAGTTACTTGGATTCCATATTTTGGTTTTGGTCATCACAAATATTACAGTTTTATTGGTCTATTTTCACTCAAGTGTTAGGGTTCATTTATGGCTCAGAATACTTGAATGTTTTCTAACCTCTATGATAAGTTTAGTTTTGGAATTTCATATTTTTTACTTCAAATATCCCTAGTTTTGTTATCACGAATTATATTAATATTAAAGTTTACATACCACTATCTGAATAATGAAAATTCTCTAAAAATTTGAGGCACTCTTCAAGGCCAGCAAATATTGTGAATTCTCCCTGAAATGGATTAGTGCGAAAAAATAAGTCAAACACAGCTACATCATTCACTTTTCCAGATTTCCAATAAGCATAGGCCATGGTTATTTGGTACAAATCTGAAAAGAAGTAAAACTTTTAATGTAAGACATTTAATTGGTTTTAAACTTTATATTTAATTCAAAAAGAAGTGAATATCAGCACTAATGACTTAAGAACATATTTATTCTAAACCTCACTGGTAAGTTTATAAAACGCAAACTTCGGCACTATTCGCTTAACATTTTGAAATTCGCTCCAAAAATAAGTTGTTCGAATTCTACATACCTGTTAGTAATGGTTGTACAATTCCATTTTGGCGAGCCATTTTTCTATTTATTACTAAATCGTGATTGGACATCTTATTCGGAAGAAAACTGACAAACACGGCAAACACTTTTAGGAACGTGGGGAATGTTTGGTATCTGTTGAACGACTAAAAGAAATAATTTCATCGTGATCAGCAAATCGTGGTTATCAGCGCGCCAAATGCTATTTGATGTATTTGACGGAAAATATACGCATGCGCATTAAAGATCCTATTGACTACTTAAAGTTAAGGTCATTTTTAAAGGTCAAACACATCAAACTTTCAATTTTTTATCCAAATAACAAAAACACTTTAAAAGCCAGCTTTTTAGGTTTTTCTTTCGTAGACAGAGATGAAAAATTGTTATGCAATAGAAAATACAAAACAAATCAAAAGTTCAAAATTCAAATTACATGCGCCCAAGGCTCACAGAATATAAATTACACACCAGCGACACTCATGTTGAGATATTGAATTTCAATTAATTTATAAAATATTATTTTAAAACATTCGCAAACAATCAAATACAAGCTTTTTTTAGGATTTCAAAGAGATTAATTTGTTGCTCATTCGCTATATTTATATTTACTATTGTTTTCTATTTTATAGCAATGCTCAGCACGAGAGATTGTCGTGGGAAAGTGTGCAGACGAAAAACAAATCTGAAAAATAGCAATTGTTTACAAGTGCCCAAGACTTTAACTTAAAGATCATAACATTACAGAGGGAAATTGTTTCTTTTTAAATCCATATATAAAAACATACCAAAAAAATAATTTTAGTATTTACCTCCGTAGTCGTAGCAAAGGTATAAGGGAAGTGAGAAGTTGTGCGCCACTTATAATTTATAATACGGGGAAAGGTGTGAATAAAAAAACGCAATTACTCTTTAGAAAAACTATGTTTTAATGCAATGCCATAAAATACTTATAATAATTATTTCATCATCAAATATCATTCCAAATACTATTTTTTTCTGTGTAATTTATTGAGTTCTCTTTTTTCATAACGATTGAACTTTTTTCTGACAATTTCGTTTATATTAATTGTTATTTTTCCACTGCTGAAACATCCTTAGTATAAACAAAATACACAGTTTTATCAAAGAAAGAGCTAGCAATATGTTTTTACATACAGTTGTTTCAGTAGTGAAAACCATTTAATTATTATCAGGCACTTCTTTATTACTGTAAAGTATGAATATCAGAACAGTTATTTTTTTTTAAACAAGCTATTTTTTTGCCACCTACCTTTATGTGTGGACAGGCTCAGGCATGCTGGGGCATTGCGTCTAGTTAATTTTGGGCATATTGGCGCTGACGGTAGCGATTGGTGGCGATGGTAAGAATTCGTACTCAATAAAGAGATAAAATTAAGTCTCAGTAGACACTAAAACGTGCTTTTAAGTTGCAACAACGCAAAAGCTGTCATTTTTAAGCAGGAAACTGTTCATATTCATAAATTTCAATGCTTTAAGCTCAAATCTGTCACAGATAACACAAAGAAAATCGTGAAAAATATATTGCCTACTGGATTAGATTCCAACTATTTACCATGAAAATATAAAGAAATTTAAGATATTTTTGATAATACATTAAAATAAAGTGAGATTTAGAGAAACACATTATAAAACTAAAGTAAATTTACAATAAAATTTACAAATTATTAGAATGAAGATTGAATAATGACTTAATAATAAAAAATATTCTTATGATATACCCTTTTCTTATAATTATTGCATTATTTATATATTAGATCATTGAAGTAAAGCATTTCTTGTGAAAAGTGCAAGGGGACGGTCCCTTCCTGGATGTTTCTTGTCATAGTGAAGCAGCAAACCTTTCCTGGTTACAAATGTTTCGTTACAATGAGTGCATTGAAATGGCTTTTCTCCTGTGTGTTGGTACATGTGGTACTGAAATTAGCAAAAATAATTTATTAGTTAATACCTAAATGTATATTTTCTTTTTTTACTGTATAAAACCTCATTTTGACAAAAGTATATGATTTTTGTACAATAAAATAATTGAGTTGTGGTACTATTTTTTTTTTACCAAACTCCACATACTTAAAAATTACTAACCAAATAATTATCTCTCTTCATAAAACTATGGTCACATTGCTGGCACTGGTATTTGAAAATACCTTTTATTGATGTCATAGGACTTTTAAAGGTGGCCAGTTGTAAATCAGATGCTCTGGTTTCATTTGTGACTAACGGTACAGATTCTTGTTTGGGTGCTTTTCCTTCTATTTGTCTTCCAGGATGCATTCTATGCCTGTGTGAGTAGCAGTTTCCGGAACTTGCAAATGACTTCTCACAAAATGGACACTTGTACGGTTTTGCACCCGTGTGTTGGTTTATGTGGAACTGAAAGGTATATTTATGACTTTAAAAATGTACTTAAGTAAATCTTACTAATATTATATGTTTGGATGGATGTTTGTTTAATTGTATCTGAAATTTAGCATATATGTAGAATATAGTCTGGAGGACATGGTATACTAATAAAGTTTTTTATGTCCACATGGAGAGAGTAGGTGACGACAGCTATTAGTTTATAATTTAAGATAATGGATTTTACAATGTTACATTGCAAGCTATAACTAAGTTTAATGAAAACAGATAACTTAAATACATAAATAATATTTAAAATAAAGTAAAAGCTAATTAAATTGATTTTAACAGTAAAAAAACATTTTTTTGTACCTTTAGATCTTGATTTCTTTTAAAACTTTTCTTACAAAGGTGACACTTGTAAGGCCTCTCATTACTGTGGGTGATGCTGTGAGTTTTTAAATTACTCATAGTATTGTATGACCGCTGACAAATTTTGCATGTGTATTTATTACCCTTGGACATATGAGCAGCCATGTGTGAAGATAAGTTTTTTTCACTTCTGAAACTGTAAGAAACATCATCTTGCTAATATTATAAATGCAAATCTTTAGTTGGATAGATAGATCTCCGGAACGGCTTAACAGATCTTGATGAAATTAGGCACAGACATAGAAGATAGTTGGAAGAACACATAGGCTACTTATAAAGTTTTTTTTAATTCCATGCCGGGCTGAGTCGCGGGCGACAGCTAGTTGGTTATATATTTTTTAATTCAATAAGATAAGAGAAATGCACTGTTAGCTATTCTCAGTTGTTATGTGCGATTGACACATGTTGTTTAGAATTATGTACTTTGTTTCAATACCACAATAGGCCTATGATTGTGGTGCACTACCTTTTTACTCGCCTATTGAAATTGCGACTGTGTCAGTCTGACATGGGAAGTAGGCGTATGAGACGGCAAAGACAGAAAACACACCAGTGAACAATATTGCATTAAATATATGAAATTGAATTTAATGAAAATGAGATATTATATATACACATGTCAATAGTTAACAATGCCCCTTTATTGTCTATGGATTTATTTTGGAAAGTTTCAGTTTTTTAATTTATACATTTGACTGATATTACAATATTTTAAAGTTAAAATAGTTTAGATAAGTTTATTATAGTTTCTCATTTTCATTGAATATATCTGTAATTTAGGTGAAACTAAATTTTATAAGTAACTTTTAAACCAGTATAAATAAATATAATTACAATATAATGCTCTCTTGGTGCACTAGTGATAAAAAATTCAATCAAATTTATCTAGCCAAATATAATCAGAGAACAATTATATTTCTTTGTATAAATATTTCTTTTTATGAAATAGACAGCACTAAAACATGTTACTTACTTTCTACCACAGATTCGACACATGCCATTAGTTCGATGTTTTTTAAAATGTGTAATAAGGTCACTTTTGAAATCAAAACCTTCCAAACAACTGCTACAATTGTATTTCTTAACTGTTTTATCATTTATATGTGTCCAAGAATGATTTTTGAGGGATAACTCGGAAACAAAACCTCTTTTACAAATTACACAGTAAAATTGTTTTCCAGTTGATTCTGTTTTATCTTTAACTATACCAACCCTTTTAATAAGTTTAATGGTTACATCTTCACCATCTATTCCATTTAAATGCATTACACCTTCAACATTATCTTCACCATTTTCAAAGAAAGGTGACAATGTGTCATCTGAATTCTGCAAAACTATCATTGGATCAACACTAACTTCCATTGTTGAGTCTTTTAGTGTGTTTACATTATCATCTTCAGTTTCTTGTTCAGTTTCAATTTGTGAGCTAAACTGCCTCTCATTTGTTATACTTTTTATGACTCCACAGTGGTTTATAAGTTTATCCTGGGCTTTCTTAACTTTATCTATAAATTCACATACAGTTTGTAATTTTGTACAGCACTGGATGCAAATGTTTTTTGGTAAATTGTCATCCTCATCAATCTGAAAAATTAAATATTAAATTACAAAAAACAAATAGAATATTAAATAAAGTTTTTTTTTTAATTGTCACAAAGATACCTCGATCAATAAATATTTGTTGAGTTTGTCGTGAAGTAACATTGCTTCGGCTTCAGCGCTAAATATCATCATTGTAACTTCTTGCTCCTCTGCGCACAGGCGGCACCATCTTTCAAAACTTTCTTTCAAATTGAGATTCATTGTGTTCACTTATACTAGGTATTCATGTTATTCGGAAAATAAATAAACACTTTCCAGATCTAAGTTTGGCGTATATATGAGATTTCTTTAACGATGTTTCACTGTATTTTCCATTTTCAAAAACGCATGCGCGTTGCGAGATAGCGATGTTAAGGTTTCTATACTTCCAACATTTGGTATTAAACATGATGAAACTGCGCTAAAGTCTAATGCGCAGACTCCACATAAGGTGTTTCGATGTATTGGACTAAATCAAACATGAATCAAACAATAATACACTTATTTTGGCATGATGTCAAAAGAAAGAATCTGTCACCGTCAACGTCAATGTCACTGCACAGCAAAGAGCTTATAAAAGACTGAACAGACAGAGTCACAACACAATATGCCAAATTATCAGATACGGATACTGCCTTTTACCATTTAATTGGTGCTTTCAAAACCATGCGTAAAATGAATTAATCGTTTTCTTAATATCTTTTATTTTTAAGAGTTATAAATTTTAATAAAATTTTTAGCGAAAACAAGATATATAGACGAAGGCGTTAATTCGAGATTTGCTTCAAGGAACTGCAAATGGTAAAACAGAAAGTTAAGATTTTCTCCGAATACCCACATAATCCAGGGCTAATAGTAAAATCACATATAAAACACACCGTGTAATCGTATATTCAAATGGCTTAAGTACAAAACATTCTTTGTAATTTACTATTAGACTAATTAATTTGTAAATTCATGTATAAAACTACCTCAAAATTTATAAGTTTTACAATTAATTCTCTTACATGTCATCGAGCGTATACATAATCTACGGTTATATAATTTTAATTTTGAAGCAATTTCTACCCTAGTGTTAGTTTGAGGTTGCGTTTGTGTGAATTTGCTTGCTGGCCTATATTTGAGAACGAAAAGAAGAAGGAACAACTACAACATACCATCAGGTGGGCTGTGGGATATTGGTTAAGGGCTAGCTAATTTGTTATATACTTTTATAGAAAAAGAACAATGATCGTATTTCGAAGTTAATCGTGTCCATGGCAGGTATAAAAGACAATGTCCAATACAATGCATGGTTTAAATAACATTTGATTAGTTGCTATTTAATAACCACTATAAAAAAAATTGTATTACGGCCTTACATTTATTTTTGGACACATTATTAAGTAACCTTTGTCAGTTGGGTAATAAAAATAATCTTATCCCTTAAATGTAGATTTTATACTTCATTATTTATTTGCAAAAAATACAATGAATGCTACTTTTAACTTGTTAGAAAAATATAACTAAGAAGACATTACATGCTATTTAGATAATTAGCGATTTAATTTCTATATGTGTAGAAAGGATTGCTGGTGAATTAAACGTTTAATTTTTTATGCACAATGTTTTCCTAAGTTATAAGTAAAAATAAGTTAAAGGAAATGCAAGATTGTCCCAAGCTTTATGATGGTAAGCTAAGATGGCAAGTGAAGGATTGGTAAGGTAAGTAAGTAAGCAAAGCGGAGCGGGTTGTGGTTGTGGGGCATCGTTCTCGAAGACCGGTCTGCGCGGGTGGCGCGGCGGCGGCGCGGCGGGTGCGGCGGGTGCGCGTGGGCAGGGAACATTGCGCGGTGCGGGCGGGGCATGCGTCAGTCGCGCAGCGAGCGCTATATCAAAAGTACGTCGGGTGGCGACGCGCCAGCCCGTCGCGTGTCAGTGTTGTGTCACAGCGGTGGGCCAGGTCGGTTTCGAGATTACTTCGGTCCGACAAAACCATGGCTCTCAATACGGACAGTGAACAAAAATCGAACCTGGTCCTCCGCGTAGACCAGGATTCGGACTCGGTTCTACAGTCTTTATTCGACACAGTGCTCAAGCCGGACTCAAAGCGGCCGCTACAGGTGCCTCTGCGTATGCGACAGCTTCCAAAGTCGTTCTTTAACCCGCCGTCGACCGGTTCCAAGTCGCCATCTGTGTCTCACTCGCGAGAAAACTCGGCCGATTCGGCGTTCGGGTCGTCGTCTGCGACAGGCGCCGCACCGGTGTCGCACTCCCGAGCACACTCCTCGCCGGCAAGTCTTCAGCAGACTTACGCAGCGGGGCAACAGACACAGCAGGCGCCCTTGCACCACCAGCACTCCAAACAGCGGTCCTATGATGTCGGCACACACATGCAAGATGATCTCGGCCCACTGCCGTCCGGCTGGGAACAAGCACGTACTCCAGAGGGACAGATTTATTATCTCAAGTAAGATTTTTAACTGAAGATTTATTATGTACATATGTAACGTCTTACATATTATGTAAAAATACATAATATAAATTGCATCAGTTGGTGCATTTTGGTAAGTAAAGTATATAAGACTGCTGCTACTAAAAATAACCTGTCCAAGTCATCGGCCTCAATGTACCTTGAATAGTGGCAAGTAAATATATGGATATGACTTCTTCCAACGTTACATTAGTTTGTTACGATTTTTATATGGTTTGAAGAATATTTAACAGGAACAATTCCTTTGTTAAAAACTATATGATTTTCATTTCCTTGAGTATCGATAATCTGGATATATGGTAGATATACAAACCAATAACATTATTATATTCTCTAAAATGTATGATGATCGTTACACATGAATCGTGTTATACTTGTTTGTTGCCATCAAAAAGCAGGTGTTTTAAGAAGTAACAGGTGACGAATGACAATATCCTTGCAAATAAAATAGTTCTTTAATAAAAAATAAGGGTGGATAAACGTATATTTTAATTAAGAACAGATGATGTATAACTACAGGTTCTGTTTATAAGAAAACATATAGAAATGCATATAATCGAACAAGTACAAAATAGGTACGCTAACACAGAAGTAAAAATTGAGGAGATCAAACCAATGTTATCAGATGTTAATTATTATAGAGGTAGAACTATGACAATAATATGTATATCCTGATTTTTTAGGTGTTTTGTCCTCATTCAGAAAACTTTCTACTACACGTCTCTAAGGAGATTGAGCGAACGGAGGAACGTGTAATTTGACACATTCTTTGATTTTGAATTGTAGTCAAATTTCGAACAATGGGCTAACTAGCATTGTTACATACGTACAATATGCATATTTTAATTGTTGTTATCTTAAAGTTATAATTTATACCACATCTATCACTAATTCCGAGGTAACCTAAACAGATGCATAAATATGGTTTCTGTGAATGAACGGATTTGCGCTCGTTCAACATAGAGTTAGCTTTGTTTTCATCGAATAATATTATGGCTTTTGTGTGGAACAAAAGAGATTTCACTTGTTTAATAACACAGTTGAGTAAAACCTTCTTATCACAATATTTAAAAAAAATCGACTCTGGGCTTAACGATGTTTCTTGTCAAGTATCTAATTTTGGTACCCATCGAACTACGTATGGTATCATGAAACATATACTTGATGAAAACAAACAATAATTAAAAATATTTCCTTTTTCAAAATCGTAAAAATATTTAGAAGTAAAAATAATATTCGGGAAATGAGAATTGATTGCGACCTGTTAATTAATCAATACTTTAATTTACAATAAAAAAGCTTCTTTCTCCAAAAGTAACAAGACATACCATCTTCTGTTATTAAGATGACAAATTAATTTAAATATAATTTAAGTACACAAAAATTAACTTACTATTCGAAAAAATTACATATTTTCAGCTCATGTATGATCCCACGAAAAGGCTTGGAGCCTACCCAAGTTAAGGGTGACTAGGCCACAATCAACCACGCTGGCCTAGTGCGGGTTATTTGACTTCAGAGATATCTTTGAATTTCTTTGCAAATATGTACAGGTTGGATCACGATGTCCTTTACCATAAGTACATTTGATAAATGTATATTTGTAATTCGAAAATCAAAAAATATATTACCTACATGTACACCTGAACCTGGACGTGTAGATTTCAGTCCGGTCCGGTTAAGCATTCTGTTATATAGAATAAAAATATACGTTAAAATAAAAATGTCACGTTCCTATATTTTTTTAAATACCAATGTGAGAGGCGCTCGAGGGAGTTGCGTTACAAATAAAATATAAGATGATAGTAAAACTATAGTTATCTTTTTATCAGAGTTATCACAAGCTGTACGTTGAAACACATTGTCGTCATTATCTTATCGCCATCGAATAGGTAGGTTACCTTTTGTCGGAGCAAACTAATGATAAGAAATGATAAAGCTAGAAAAATGAATCATTCCTAAGAGGAAAATGATTTGATCCTCATTTATTAAGTATTTTCTACCAGTTAATTACTCGCTTAATAATGCAGTTGTTTAACACAATTAAACCGAAGTAGGAGACTAAGGCAATCTATACAAATATTCCCATATAATTAGTAGTCCCATTTCCTATGCGGAAAATACATAAAAACATGCTAAATGCCAGAACAACGGAAAGCGAAAATACATAATTTAACGCTCTTAAAGTATTGCAAAAATATGTTTTCCCGTGATACGATAAGAAACGAAAGATATTTTGTTTAGTACATTTAGTTAGATTAGATAAATTAAAATTTACTAAAGCGATATCCGGCGCTAAATTTAGATAAATAAATATATATTGATTGATCTAAATTCGATCGGAGCGGTTACTTCAAGCTGTTACTGGTTAGAGAGTTGGAAATAATTATAGCGATAATCTATAAGTTGTCGGTTGGTTGGCGCCGCTGCCATTACTGTTGTGTTATGTTGCCTGCACTGGCTATGATAATATCGACTTGTGAATTGCTTATGGGGATCATTACATAATTCGATCATAACATTTCAAGGAAATCATTGTTTAGTGTTAGAGAAATTAAAAATAATTTAGTAATTATCATTGACTTTGATGCTTATAGATAAAGTATTTCACGTGTATTACTTATCCACCGATAATTTTGATAAGTTTATTACCTAAAAATAATTTAATGTGATGTTTTGGATATTTGGGAAAAGTATAAAGTAAAAAATTATAATGAGGCAGTTTATTATAATGCGCATGTCTAATAAAATGAACCAAAGGTACCAGGTTAGTTAGAACACAAAATGTAACAGTAAGGGCGATTGTTAGCCGACCGCCGCCGCGCCGCGACAACCAGAGCGGGCGTGGACGCCAGCCAATGCGACATCAAAGCTTTTGCCACCTCGTAAATAACCCTACCGGTGTAACTAACATGGTGAACAACAAAAATTGAAACATGAATATCATATCATAATTAAACATAACTCTATTTTGAAATTTGAAAGTTCTAAAAAAAGAACTTATACATAATATGTTCATTACCACTAGAATT